GTGTTTTTTGCGAGACCATATAGCGAGATTTCTAGACGATAACTTTGTAGTATTTGATCGGTATGTGAAGTCAATGATATGTTCTCACGCGGCGCTTCTGTTTCGTTTCGTAAGTTTTTTTAGTTGTGTTGGTATAGGCATTCGTATGAATACTACGGTTTTGCAAACGTATATGTTTAGATTGGTTTTAAAAGGAAAGATGCATTTTTTTCTCGATTGGCTGGTCTGTTTCGTTTGCATGTAGAAGGAGGAACTCGTACTTTTGCCGATTATCGGGTTGTATATCCTTTGTTTTTTCGCACCTTACCTGCATACGGTGTTTTTGAAAATACCAAAGAATATCCAGTAAACTCAGTGAATTCTGGACCTATTCAGTTACAGAAGAAAGTGTTACACGAAGTGTACATGAGCGCTTCTCGTGCTGAACATTATGACGCCGCAATTCGCCATTTATGTTATCTATTGCAGGTACAAACAAGTCGTTGACGCAAAGCGGTTACGACTTTTATAGGGGATTTATTGTTTTATATTTGTTGAGGTATTTTTAAATTAGTTTAATTAAGAATTATTACGAGTATATGGACCATGACTCCGCTTTGCGTCTTCTAGAGGAGCTTAAACGCTTAGTGGCTAACAGAGAAACCATTCATCAGTTAAACCAACACCTATCAATTCCTCACTCGGATATAATTGTCTCACCGGTGCAAATGAACCGTTTTCCGCGTTTCGAGTTTGTTTTTTTTTTACGTGCTATTTTTAATTTTCTTTTCAAAGGCAATTTTAAACTTTAACTACGTTTTTAATCAACTTAGCAACGAATACTCTAAAAGACAATGGCGCGGTGGTATTGGTGATTGATTCATCACACTCTTTCAGGAGGTTCACAGTTTGTCCATTACCGGCTCATCTATCCCCCGTCGTAATAGAGCCTAAACCGAAGGATGCGGTCTTTATTTATTCACCTTTCCAACAGAAGGGCAATACCCAGAAAGGTTAATATTACATCAGTTATTTCATAATTTTAACGGTATCGTAATCAGTTACCTTGAAGAACTTCTTTTAATCATAGTTTATTTTCAGCTATAAACTGGGTTGTAGACTGCGTATGTGAAGTTTCGGTTTCCGTTTCAAACTGTTTGCCATTTGAATTGTCTGTGCATCGTCTTTCTTTGCTTGCTGAGGGTTGCGCCTTTGAAGCTCTGCCTGTAGAACTAACCCTTCCTCCATCTGATAATTCAGAGCCAGTAGGCATAAAATTACTTGGAGTTCCAAAGTAATTAATTTTTCAGTGTAATTGCCATTTTTTCTCAATATTATGTTTTTCTTATTTTTTAATTTGGAGTTATTTGTTCTAATAGGGAACCGGGAATGTTAACTATTACGGGCTATAGTTGTGAGGTATTTGGTGTTCGTAACATTTGTCGACTGCGTGACCTTCCGAGTTTCGCAGAGAAAAGTGACGGTTTTCTTTCAACATTCTTTAGTGTTGAGGTATTATTTTTAAATTTTTCAAGATTAGTATTTTTTAGTTTGATACGATAGTTTAGTTTATGAGAAACTTTTCTATCAAAATAAGATTAGGTTCTTCCTGCCTTACCTGTTTTGGAACTTCATACTTCACTACCTCGGGCACCAATATCTGATTCAAATCTTGAGCCAGCTGCAGAAACCACTGTCTACTCAGGACAAATGTGAGTTTTACTGTGAACAGAAGACGTTGAATAAAGAAAATTCTTAGCTCCACGGTTTCCAAGATTAAGTTCTCATTTATAAATATGCAAGAAAACAGTTTCGTTTGAAAGATAGAG